TGCCCAGCCCTGCTGAGTTGCCTTTCTGCCTGCACTAGGAAGGAGGCAAGTCTAGAGCCAGTCTAGAGCCTCCTGGGCCTGGGATTCATCCAGAGCAGATGCTGAAAGGACAGAGAATGGTTTTCCCAGCCAAGGTAAAGAGCAGCTGAGGCTGGCTGTGTGCCTGGAGGGGTTGCAGCATGCACAGGGCACTGCTCATGCCAGCACGGGGCACAGCACAGCTTGGGGACATCATTGGCTTCTCCCTGAAGCTGTAGCTTGTCTTTCCTCTTGTCACCTTGTTGGCCACCTCTGTCCTTCCCTGTTGCATGTTCCTGTCTCCAGCAGAGCCCTGCAGAGCCTGAACCTCGTGCAGGCAGAGCCTGGGCTGTGGCAGTGCCCAGCTATCACCAGCCAGGGGCTGTGCACAAATCACAAATGGGATGGGACTGCAGGGAACAGCCTTGAGCTGTTCGATTTTCCAATATCAACTTTATTACATGGTTTTGACAATGGGAAGATGACATCAGCAGACCAAGAACTTAATGTTACAACTTACTTTAAAAGTTTTTTGACCAATTACACAAAGCAAAAGCATTATGACAGCAGTTGTATCCAACCACTACAAGCACACGTACCTTTGTTTAAACAATGCTTGCTTATTTTGAATACAATACCTGCTTGTAAGCCTTAAAAGAAAATGCACAGACCTCCATTATTAAGCTTAAAACTTCCTAATATCTCGCTAGATAAAATTTTCTGCAGCTTAGGGAGTTATTCTAGACAAGTGTTAATGCACAAACCATTGTTCTATTTGTCCTTGCTTTTCTACATTTTGCATATTTTTTCTGCTGACCAATCTCATGCTGCTGCTTAGCTCTAATCACAGTTCTGCTGTCCCTGAGGCCTGCCTTTTGCAGCTTTCCCAAAACCCTCTGGTTTTATGGATTCCCACACCCAGGACAAGCACTGCTGTCACTGAGGATCCACTGGTGTCCATTTCCACTCACTCCTGAGCCACTCCCTCCTTTGGGATTTTTCACCTGCCTCACATTTTTCCTTAGAAAAGCCCAACAAAAAACACTCCCAAGCAGTTGCTGGTGTCACAAATCACTTGCAAATAAACCTGTTGACCCTATTCCCTCCTCTTCCTAATTGACTTTATCAGCACCAGTCTGTGTGTGCCTCTCATTTGCCCCATCCCCTGTTTTATAATCCCTCTACCCAGACAAGGATTCCAGCACATCTCTGAGAGAAATGTCCTTCCCTGTCCCTCAGGTGTGGCTGTGGGACCAGGAGCACAGGTCAGGGACTGATTTATGTCTGGTTTCCTGCAGTCACTGTGTAAATGCTGCATTTGGTGGGGCAAATAATGGACACGGAGTTCCTCTCAAGTTCTCTTGCTGTTATCTCAAAGCCCAGCAGGGCCAGGAAGGTCCTGGGCATGGGTTGGGTGTATTAAAAGCTAAAGAAGCCACATCTTCTTTCCCATAAAGGGGTGAAAATGTGGCTTTGGCCTGTGAAATGGGGTTTTCTGTCAAGAAACTGCAGTAGCCCTCAGAAGTTGGGCTGCAAGACACAGAAGGGATGGATTTGCATCACATCACAGGTTTTTGGGGTATAAAACACTGATCTGGGGGCTGGGGGAAACCTGTAAAAGGCCACGGGCTGGTCAGGTGTGATAAAGGCTCACAGACAGGCTGAGGAGCTCATTGTGATTTCTGACATGGAAACTCAGCTGGGCAGCAGCTCAGAGCCATTTGCAGCCTCCCCTCACTGCCCCTGCCAGCAGCAAAGTTCCAGAAATAGAAAACCCCACGCTGCACTAATTAGGTCACCCAATTAAGGCACCTTAATTGCCTCACAGAGACACAGCCTTCAGCTGTGTCCTTTTTTGGGAGCTGGGCTCAGGCTGCAGCCCCTTCCCAGCACCTGAGCTGAGCAGGGCTGGCTCTTCTGGGAGGGGGTTCAGGGAATCTGAACGATGCAGCTGAAAATCCCTGAGGCTTTGGGATCCACACACAGAGGAGCTGTTGTTGTTTAAAGCACTGAGTAGGATCTGGGGGGGCTGGGGGAGCAAACCAGCCCTCCCTGGGGGAGGAGGGAGCAGCCCCCGATGGGGATCCATAGAAAAGGACCTGGTGCTGCTCTAAGCCAAAAATCTAATCTAATCTAAAATTCTTATCCAAAAATCTAATCTAATCTAAAATTCTAATCCAAACTCTGACCCAAACCCTGATCCAATTCCAGTCCAAACCCTGATCCAATTCCAATCCAAACCCCAATCCAAACCTGACCCAAACCCTGATCCAATTCCAATCAAATTCCAATCTGAACCTGACCCAAACCCTGATCCAAACATGACCCAAACTCTGATCCAAACATGACCCAAACCCTGATCCAATTCCAATCCAAACCCTGATCCAAACATGACCCAAACCCTGATCCGATTCCAATCCAAACCTGACCCAAACCCTGATCCAATTCCAATCCAAACCTGACCCATACCCTGATCCAATTCCAATCCAAGCCCTGATACAAACCCTGATCCAATTGGTGCCTGCCCCAGATCAAAGCAGTTATTTTCATTCTCCAGGTAAGTGTACAAGGCAGGCTAGTGCACCTGAACAGCTTCTTTAAATTTTTTTTTTTATTTCCTCCCACTCAGTGGATTATGGAAGATAAGTAATTATGGTGTGTGTGCTGTGTTGTATTTTGAGAGCACAGGTGAAGGCAGGTGGTTGTAAGCAATGGGCTGAGCCTTGCTGGGAGCTGTCTGATAGTCCTCACAATTGGTGCCTGTATCCCTTGGCAGATGTAAAATCAATTATTGGAGGGTGTAGCAGGCAGAGAGTGAAGCTGAACCTGCCAGGCTGTACCTGCCTCCCTTGCAACACTGAGCCCACCTGCCCAAATTAGGTGAGGACTCTGAGACAATACTTTAAAACTTAGCTTCCTTTTCATTTAAAGCGGTAAAATATAAAATAGCAAGAACTTGGGAATATTTTCCTAAGGGTTTAGAGGATTTAGATGTGTAATTTTAGATTTAGCCATGCTGACTGTATTTTTTGTTTTAATGGGCAGTGCAAATACACTGATCGCAGTGATTGAATTAGGGCTGGTTAATTTTGCTGGGCTCCCCTTAAGGCCACCTGAGGGTGTCAGTGCCTTCCCTCTGTGTCACCATCCTGCTGCCATGCAGGGGACCCCTTCCCATGTGTGAAAAACACTAATCACTTGTTTTTAAATTTTTAAAAGTTTAATAATAATAAAATGGTTCTAAAATAGCAATATAATTAGAGTGATAATAATTTGGACAATTTGGATTAGGACAATATGAGACAATAGAAACAAAGAGTTATGGACGTCTAGGTACCTTTTCTGGGCCAAATAAGCCTGAAAAAGCACACACATTAAAAGAGGATTAACCCTTAAAAGCAACAGCCTGTTGAATATTCATACACCTCATCCATGATGCATAAATTCCATTCAAACACAGGATTCTGTCTGGTCAGTGTCAGCTTCTTCCTCTTAATCCTAACAGCATCTTCAGGGCTGAGCAAGGCAGGAAGAAGTTAATTTCTCCTGATAATGGAGCAATAAATTCTCTTTCTCTGAAAGATTTAGGTGTCCTGTGGCTGCTATCTCACTGCAAGTCCCTTCTTTAAAAAAAGTATCTTACATAGCATAGTTTCTATTTTAGCCTTATGCTATAACCCCAAACTATATTTAACACACTGCTTGAGAAAATTAACACAGCATAACTTTCTAACATAACACATAAAATATTCATTTTAATATTTGTGAAAAGCCAACCATAAAATACACATGTTTCACACCGTGCAAAGCCAAAGTGTTTGGCTCAAACATTTTGAGTACAAAGCCGAGAAGACCTTGAGATCAACTTCCTTCGGCAGCCAAGGTTTTCCTTCAAAACAAAAAAACACTTCCAACCAGTTGCTGGTGTAGCAAATCACTTGCAAATAATTGACCCCATTCCCTCCTCTTCCTGACTGAGTTTATCAGCAGCAGTCTGTGTGCCCCTCTCGTTCGCCCCATCCTCTGTTTTAGAATCCCTCCACCCAGACAAGAATTCCGGCACACAGTGGCCCATCTCTGAGAGAAATGTCCCTCTCCTAAAGGCAGGCAGGGTGTCAGCAGTAAATATCTGTCAGGAAAATCTGAGTTGTGCTGGTGACCAACTGGCTCCTGGAGTGGGGAATCATCTCATGCAGGCAGGTGATGGGGGCTCAAATCCAGTAAACTCTGAGGAAATCACCATAGGGATGAATTGCATTCTTGGCTGGTGAAAATGGCTCTGGAAGGATGGGTTTGGGAGTGATGCTCTGCTCCTCTCTCCTCCATTTAGGCAGGATACATGTCAGGGATGCTGGTTCCTGTGGGAGTTGGAATAGCTGGAGCTCTCTTCATCCTGGGAGCACTCTACAGCATCAAGATGATGAATCGCCGGAGGAGAAACGGCTCCAAGCGGCACAAAAGAAAGGTATGGAGTGTGAAAAACGCCAGTCACTTGTTCTTAAAATTTTAAAAGTTTAATAGTAATAAAATGGTTATACAAAAATAGTAATACAATTAGAGTTATAATAATGTGGACAATTTGAATTAGGACAATATGAGACAACAAATACAAAGAGTTTCAGACGTCCAGGTACCTTTTTCTGAGCAGCATGAGCCTGAAAAAGAACCCATGTTAACAAAGGATTAACCCTTAAAAACAACAGCCTGTTGCATAGTCATACACTTCATACATGATGCATAAATTCCATTCAAACACAGGATTCTGTCTGGTCAGTGTCAGCTTCTTCCTCTTAATCCTAACAGCATCTTCAGGGCTGAGCAAGGCAGGAAGAAGTTAATTTCTCCTGATAATGGAGCAATAAATTCTCTTTCTCTGAAAGATTCAGGTGTCCTGTGGCTGCTATCTCGCTGCAAGTCCTTTCTTTAAAGAAAGTATCTTACAAGGCATCATTTCTATTTTAACAATTTTTGTAACCTAAAACTATATTTAACACAGTACTTAAGAGAATTAATACAGCATTACTTTCTAGCACAACACATCTAATATTCATTTTAAAAATTTGCAAAAAGCCAATCATAAAATACATGTATTTTTCACATGGAGACTGCCAGGGGAAGGTATGGAAACTGCCAAGGGAAGGTATGAAACCTGCCAGGGGAAGGTATGGAAACTCTGAACCCTCCTGGCTGGAAATCAAACAGCCTGGCTGGGGTCTGTCTGAGCTGGGGCACCTCGGTTATGGGATGGGGGCACCTGAATTCTCTCCTTTTGGTTCCTTTTTGCCACTCTCTGATGTTTGTTCTCCTCCCCCAGCAGAGGGAATTTAACAGCATGCAGGACCGAGTGATGCTCCTGGCCGACAGCTCTGAAGATGAATTTTGAGTGGAACTGCAGTGCCCTTGGGAGGGAGAGCCCGTGACTTTCCAGAGGAGGGAGAGAGGGGGAGGAGAAGAACGAGCGACTTCTGTGCTGCTGCAGCGCTGCTCCCTCGGCTGCCCCGGGCAGGGGTGCGTCCCCAGCCCAGTGACAATGACAATGCTATGCTCTACGTGTGCCACCCGTGGTGTTTGTTTTGATACAGTAGTGGAGATCTCACACTCCCTCATTCAGAGCCACAGCTGGAGCTGATCCGTGTGGATGATATTATTTTCCTCTTGCCCTGGTGTACTGTTTTGGTCCTGGCTGGCAGTAATCTAATCATAACAATAGCTCTCACCCATCCCAGGAATGGAAATCTTTACTGTGAATGACTTCTGTCCAATTCATTTTAAATGTTACATTACCTGAGCTAGAGATCCTTAGTGCTAAGATTAGCTGCTCTGCTTAATTAATGAGTTGTAAGCCTGGCCTGTACCCCTGGCTGCCCGAGAAGTGCCCATGTACAGGGTTCTTGATACAGTTTGAAGCACATTTCTGCCCTTGGGTGCCCCCACTCTCACCCCTTTCTTCCTTCAGCTCTGCTCCACACTGCTTGGAGACACACAGGAATGGCCTCAGCATTGATTCCACTCAAAATTCCCTGTCCATGTCCAACCAGCACTGTCTGTTACAGCACAATAAATACCAGCACTCATCTAGTGATGGCTGCTCTTGCCTTTGCATCTCTTGGCTTTTGCTCAGTGTGCAAGGAAGTGAGAGAAGAGGCAGGTCAGAGACTTCCCCAGCTTCTGCCTCCTCTTGGAAGGACACCAGCTCCAGGTCCTTCTCTTTCCAAGGCTGCATTCCCATAGGAATGAGAGTGGAGCCTCTGAACTCCTTTACCCCACTGGAAAATGCATTTTCAGCCCCTGAAAGCTGCGTGAACAGCAGCACCTTTGGGGGATCTGCATGGGTCTTGTCTCACAGCATCACAGAATGGTTTGGGTTGGAAGGGACTTTCAAGGCACCTGGTTCCGACCCTGACACCTTCCATTATCCCAGGTTGCTCCAAGCCTCATCCAGTCTGGCCTGGAAAACTTCCAGGGATGGGGCAGCTACGGATTCCCTGGGCCCCAAACCATGGAATTCAGAAAGGCTCTAAAGCTTGGGGAGCAGGTGGAGTCACTGTTGAGGGATTTGTGGCTAACAGTGGGAAAACAGCAAGAGCTGCAGAGATGTCAGCTCTGGGGGGTGAGATGGGAACCCCTGGTGTGGGGAGAAAGGTGAATCCATGGCACAGAAGGGTGCAGGGGGTTGTGGAGGTGCCCTCTGAGTACTGAGGGATGCAGTGCTTGAGGTGTCACAGGCATTGAGCAGGGGAGAATAATGTAGCTTTGCCCAGAAGTGCTATCAAAATAACCAGGAAAAGGCTGCACTGTTGGGCTCTGCTTCCCACTGTGAAATTACTTCAATCTGACATACAAAATATCCATGCTCCTGAGATAGGAATCCATGTTCCTGAGGGGGGAATCCATGTTTCTGAGGGGGAATCCATGTTTCTGACATGGAAATCCATGTTTCTGAGGGGGAAATCCATGTTCCTGAGGTGGGAATCCATGTTTCTGAGGTGGGAATCCATGTTTCTGACATGGGAATTTATGTTTCTGAGGGGAAATCCATGTTTCTGAGGGAGGAATCCATTTTTCTGATGAGGGAATCCATGTTCCTGAGGTGGGAATCCATGTTTCCATGTTTCTGAGGGGGGAATCCATGTTTCTGAGGTGGGAATCATCCTTCCTGCAAGGTACAGTGACTGTTGCCAGATGGGAAGTGAGCAGAAAAGGGCAGACCCCACATGTGCTGAAATTCAATCCCCCTGAGCCTTTGGAGAATGGGAGGGAGGGGAGGCTGAAGAGGGGCAGGAGCAGGATTTGGTTCCCTGTGGAGGTGGAAAGACCTGTCAGATGGTGGGGAAATGTCCTGTGGGAGTGTCAGTGGGATTGCAAGGCAGGGAGGACTTCCAGGAGCCCCTCCTGAGGTGAGCTCTCTCTTGAGAGGCTCAAGGCTGCCTCTGGGCATTAAATCACCAGAAGTGATGGTCAGCTCTGAAAAACCAATGTTCACCAGAGCCCAGGCATTCTCCTAAGAGCCTCTGACATCTCCTGGGTCACATGGACAAGGACAGATGGGACACACAGGTTCCAAAATGCTGCTCCAATGCTCTTCTTCCAGTCCAGCAGCTGTGTGTGGTACCTCAGCCATCCATCCTGTTGGGTGCATGGGGATCTGGCTGGGGGAAACATTTTTGGGGTGGGGGGGTCTTCATACCCCCCAGCCAGGGCTCCACAGTGCATCTCACCCTTTTTGGTCCTGAGACATCAGCCAGGAGGGTTTTGCCTTGCTAAAAGCAGCTCCACATCTTTAACAGGCACTGACTGGCAATACACCATGAAATCCAAAATTCAGGCCTCTCTCTCACTTGGTCACTCCAAGTTAAGATGAAGTTTTTCCCTCCAGAGCGATCTCTCCCTATTTCCTGCTGATTCCTAAGTCTGTTGGAGCTTGGAGGTTCTTGGGAGGTGTTACCAGTCCAGGGATCATTCCTTCACTATTGGAGATTGGGAAATATTGTCCCTTGGGCTCTTTGGTGATTTATTCCTGGTAAGGTATGGTGGGGATTGCAAGATGGATATTTGGTGAAATATCTGATAAAACACAGAGCTGCTGGGTCATTGAGGAGGAGGAGGGATGGCTAAGGAAGGCTTCTGGTTTGAGTAGCCCAGCTGTGGCAACTCAGGAGGATCCTTATGGATGGGCTGCCAGTTTGATGGATTGGGAAGGGTGGGTGGGGAGGTGCTGTGGCCTTTTGTTGTGCTAATGAATCCTCACTTTGGGAAACACTGCCTTTCTGCAGGGGCAATCAGTTTCCCTGTCTCTCCTCTCCCTCTTCAGCATAATGAACTCGAGGAATTAAAGGCAGCACTGCCAGTCAGAATGATGGAAGTGGGGTTTTACTGCATCTCTGGGGGCCCTGGTGTCCTCAGAACCAGACAGGACATGGCAGGGCTGGCTTGGATGCTGCAAGTCCACAAGGAAGGGAGGCCCAGCTGCATGCACAGCTCAGTGTGGGCTCTCTGGTCTCTGCTGGAGACAGGCTTAGGAGTTAGGTGCATTTCCCAAAGGTCTTTCTTGTGTTCTGTCTGCACTGCTAGGCCTGACTCTGGCTCTGAAATGCTTCACCCAAGGATGGGACCTGAGCACTGCTGGCCATTTTGGCGGGGAGCTTTCTGTGGAATGGTGGTTTTGGTCAGCCCTGGAGGGTCCCCAAGTGTTCAGCTTGAACTGGAAGCCAGGTGGGCAGTCAGAGCCAGCTGTGGCTCGAGGGAAGTTTGCGGGATCCTTGGGAGCTCAGACAGAGTTTCCTGCAGTGGCTGCAGGTCCTTGAAGCACCAGCACCCCTCAGCCCCTTCCCTTCTCATCCAAGGCCAATAGACTTGGGATTGGGCTCTTAAAAATGTCCTCTGCACAGCTCCTGGAGTTGGATTCATTCCCTTGGAATGATCAGGAGGCAGCAGGGAGGGGATGGGGGGTTCAGGTGGGAGCTGAAGCTGGAGCTCCAGTGGCCTGACACTGCTGATTGAATCTTCACTTCTGCCTTGCCAAACCAGCAGCTTCTTTTGGAAGAGGCAGGGCAAGGAAAGCAGCCAAGAAGGCTCCTCATCCTCAGTGCTGGGTGAGCTGCAAGGCCCTGAGTGCTGAGGGTGCTGGCATTGGCACAGCAATGTCCCTGCAGCAATAACAGCCCCTGGACTCCACACAGGACCAGCCACTCACCTCCCTTTTGCATTCTCCTGACAGCACAAGGCAGAATTTCCTTGCAGGCCCTGCACAACAGCTTTGGCATCTCCAGCTCCATTTCTGACAGGAGGAACCAGCCTGCCTGGCAGCTCTTGTCCCCTTGGAATGCACCTCCACCACACAGCTGCTGATCCCTGAAGGTCTGATCTCTGAACATCTGGCCTCAGATGTTCACCCTGGTGAGGCTGCTCTGGACTGCTCTGCTTCCACAGAGAGCTGTGAGCAGTCCTTGTGCTTCCCTGTGGTTTTCTCTTGTGGGCAGGAGCAGCTCCTCATCCTGTAACTATGGAATGTAGCACTTTGTTAAAGGAAAACATTGGGAAATAAAAAGCTGTCCATCAGAGCTGGCTCTGAGTGCCTGTCTCCCTGATCTGTGGCTCATTCAGTGTCCCAGGCGAAGCTGTGAAGTGATGCTTGGAGGATTTGAGTGTTGTGTTTCTTTCTCCAGGCTGCATGGTCAGTGCAAGGACTCAGACTGGGCTTGCAGGGATCACAGGAGCCGTGGGGAACCTCAGGCTGGCACTTTTTGGGAGGATTCACCTGGATTAGGGGTTTGCTATAGGCTGTGATGACCCCTAAGTCTCTTGGTGTTTTGGTTTGGAAAGCCAGGTGTGTGCTAAGGGAGGCAGGAGCCTCTCCTGAAATGGAAAATGCAAACCCCCTCCCGCTGAATTGTTATAATTTTGAAATGAAGGGGCTCTCAGGCAAAGATATGTGAGCAGGAATAACAGTTCTTGTGGTATTTGCAGAGGTCCTCATCTCTCCCAGGAGAGATGAGGAATTGAGAATCTGACTCCATGTTCTCAGAAGGCTAGTTTATTGTTTTATAATATTATCTTATATTATATTAAAGAATGCTGTACTAAAACTATACTAAAGAAAAAGATACAGACAGAAGGCTTAACAGGAATGAGAATGAAAAACTCGTGACTGACTCCTTGGAGTCTGACACATCTGATGGTGATTGGTCATTAAGTAAAAACAATTCACATGAAACCAATCAAACAATGACCAGTTGGTAAACAATCTCCAGACCACATTCCAAGGCAGCCAAACACAGGAGAAGCAATCACATAATTATTGTTTTAATTCTTTTCTGAGGCTTCTCAGCTTCCCAGGAGAAGAAATCCTGGCGAAGGGATTTTTCAGAAAATATGACAGTGACAAGTTCTTTATTAGAGAAGAAAATAAAATAAACAATGCAGTGATACAAAACAACACTGACAAAGTCAGAATACACCTGACAGACCCCCTGTGTGTCAGGGGGTGTCCCAGCCCCATCCCAGGGGGCTCAGCCCTCCTGCAGTGCCAGCTGTGGCTCTGCTGCAGCAGGGATCCTGCACAAGGGGGGAGTTTTCCTCTGCAGCTCCAGGGCTGCTGCAGATGGGCCTGGGCTCCCTCTGGCCATGCAGGGCAGCAGAAAGCTGCTCCTCTGGCAATGCAGGGGGCAAAGGCTGCTGTGGTGTCCCAAACCTCAGATTGTATCCAGGCAGGAATGCTTGGCTCCTCCCCTGGGCGGAGCATCTCCCCATGGGATGCTGGGATTGGATCAGCCCTGCAGGGACACTCAGTGGCCGTGGACACAAGCAAATTAATAATTAATGGCCCATTAACAGAAGAGATCTCCTGGAGGGAGGGTTGGCTGTGGCAGAGATAAAGAAAAAACTGCCCCATGAACAGCAGAGAACTGCCCCACCTCTGACAGATGGTAAATAAAATACACAGCCCCATTTCCCACCTCATGCCCTTGGTTTGCAGTGGCAGGAATGAGCCCCAACAGTGACATTTCTGTGCACACCAGGACATTTTTCCTTTCTGTTTAGTCCTGTTTCTGATTTCTCTGTGCCCAGATTTTCCAACACCCCATACCAGGGTGTCTGCCTGCCCTTCTCCCACCTCCCCCCACTAGCAAGAGGCAGCAAGAGCTATTTGTCACTGTGTGTGTTTTCTCTAATGGAAAATGGCTTGTTCAAAACAAGAAATTCCCAGGGAAATAGCTGCTTGGGGATTGCATGAACACAATCTTTGCTAATTGGTAGTTGCCAAAAACAATCTGTATATTCATGAAGCTGTTTGCTGCACTGCTGGCTTTTTCCAATGAAAAAACAAGACCTGCTGAAAGAAGATAAACAATGACAATGTTTTTTGGTTTTTTTTTTCCTAGGTCTATTTCCTTAGGAAATTACTCTCTGTGATCTCACTCTGAGCCTCTGTCCATCAGCTGGTCTCCTTCTAATGTCCCTGACTCTGCCAGCCAAGCCAGGGGGTTGTGAAAATGGGGAGAGAAAAATCCATAATGAAAAAAAACCAACAACCAACCAAACAAAAAACAAGAAAAGTGTGTGTGGAGCTGTTCTGAGGCTGCAGAGCTCCTGCATTTTCAGCATTTATATGTGGTTTGATGGAGAGGATGAGCTGGATGTCCTGGAAATCCTTGGGGCTGAGCAAAGCCCAAGGATGAGCCTGGCACAGGGTTCAGCCAATTTCAGTCACGAGCAGGACCCTGACTGTGCAGAGCAGCACTGACAGCCCAGCTTGGGGTTGTTTTCATCAATATATTTGGGAAGGACAAACCAAAGGCATTCCCTGCATGCTCTGCTGGTAAAGGCACACACCAGAATCTCTGCTCAGGGCCAGGCACACAAAAACCTCCTTTATTTGAGGCAAATCTCATCCTTCCTCCTGTGAAACCCCTGCACATTTGGAGGGGTCACAAGCACTTTAGGGTGCACAGCATTTCAGTGCACAGTGAATTTCAGTTCACTCTCAGCTCCTTTAAGGCTCACAGAGGTTTCCCCTTTTTTTCCCCAGTGGTGATGCCATCCCAAGGGAAGGGTTTGGGTCTCAGCCATCAGGGAGTCAACAGAGATGTTGCCAGCAGAAATGTTTCCTTTCTTAATGATAACTGCTGTGCACCCACCCAGTACAAATCCACCTGGTGTTTGCAACCCAAGTTTTCCACCTCCCAGGCACTATGGTTTTTTATGATTTACTTTAAGTCTTTTTGGCTTAGCTCTTAGTCTGATTTTCTGGTAATAATATCCTCCCAGAGTGATGGAAATGTGCCATGCTCTGCTTCTGTTCAGAAAAACTTTCTTAGCATGGGTTGAAAGACCTCGTGCAGCAGAGCCTTGATGTCCAGGCAGGAACATTCATGGGTGAGGAGGTGTTGTTCTCTTCCCCCAAGTAACAAGGACAAATGACCTCATGTTGCACCAGGGGAGGTTCAGGTTGGATATTAGAAAAATTCCTTACAAAAAGAGTTGTTAAGACCTGGAACACACTGTCCAGGGCAGTGGTGGAGTGCCCATGCCTGGAGGGATTTTAAAGCCATTTGGATGTAACGCTTGGGGACAGGGGTCAGTGGTGGCCTTGGCAGTGCTGGGGGAAAGGTTGGATTTGATCTTTTCCAAAAGCCCTCTGGGCTCCCTCTGGGAATGCAGGGCAGCAGAAAGCTGCTCCTCTGGGAATGCAGTGGGCAAAGGCTGCTGTGGTGTCCCAAACCTCAGATTGTACCCAGGCAGGAATGCTTGGCTCCTCCCCTGGGCGGAGCATCTCCCAGGGCCCTGCATTCCCAGAGGGAGCCCAGAGGGCTTTTCCAACCTAAAAGATTCTGTGGTTCTCTGACAATAAAAAGTTGCCAAAGACCTGAGCAGCTCCTGGGAGTGCTGGGCTGTGCAGGGACATAAATGGAGATTAATGGCAGCTTTTGGCTGTCCTTTCCCAAAAATATCCCCAGAAAACTCCTGGGTCTTGCACATGGTGCATGAAGAGGAGTGTTAACCTCTGTGTTGGGCCAGCATTTGGGAGCAGAGCCATGCTTTTACTAATTTTCCAAATCTTTAATACAAAGTGACTGGAAGGGCAAAGTGCAGTCAATGAGACTCTTCACCAAGGATTTCATCTGAGGCAGAGGAAATGGAACTGGGCAACAAAAGAGGCTGATGTTAACAGATTTTATTTTATTTTATTTTTCTTAATTGGAGGGAAAATTTGTAGTGTGTTAAAAAAACTAAATTCCTGCAAAAAAGTGATTGTACTCATATAAAAGGAAATTCAGAATTAAATCAAGACTGTCTGATGTAAATTTAAAACATCTTCTCTTACACAAGCAAAGTCTCAATAATGAAAATATTTGCCAGGATCAGGCTGTAACCTGACCTGGGATTTGCAGTCAAAATATTTAGATCACTGGATTTAAGTGTACTTTAAATCAAGAAGCTGAAAAATCCTTATTTTAAATAATTTGTCAAGTAGATATTTTTTCAATTTTAGCTCTTTTCCCAAGGTTCATTCTTGCTGGTCAATATGCCCTTTAAAAGTTATTGATTTGCTTCTGGAAATCATCTGCCCATGGAGCTGTGCTTTATTCTTGCCATAACTTAATCTACAATTATGGAAGCAATATCAGGATTTCTGATTTAATTTTTTTTCCCCCAGATTGTTTATACTTTGCATTTTTAATATTAAAAAAATAGCAAATAGCAGTCTTCCATTCCCCTGACTTATTGCATTACATTCCTGCCTGATTAAATCTCACTTGGATACAGGCTGAAATTCAACTGAAATACCCAGAAATTGGATTTTTGTTACAGGGCTGCAGAATGGGAGCTGCACTGTTCTGTGAACATCCAGGATGGGTTTGTGGTGACAAACAAGGTAATTTGGGCCCAAGAGCTGTTTGTGAGATTAAATAACACACCAGCAATGTGAATCCTGTATCCCAGAGGAGTTTGGAGCTGGCCCCACTTCAGCAGGAGCAGGAGTGAAGAGTTAACTAGAAAAAAATTGATATTCAGGACACAGCCAAGGCCAAGGAGACCTGCATAAAAAAATACTCTGGTCCTGGGTTTAGAATGGAAAGGAGGGAGGAAGTAAAATGCATCATTGAATCCAGGCTGGAACAAGGGAAAGCTGAGCTGTGCCTCAGTGCTGGGCACGTGGAATTCATTTATGGGCAGCAGGGTGCCAGGTCTGCAGCTCCTCTGGGCCATGGAATGGTGGCAGAGCTTTGCTGGGTGCTCTGTCCCTGCTGGAAGTGACAGAAGAAGCTTCCAAAGCAACAGGATCTGGGCAGGAGGTCACTGCCAGGGGGCTGCAGGAGGGGATGCACAGTCCAGGGATGCCTTTAGAATTCAAAGTGAAAAATGTGGTTTAACAGCATGAGAAACAAAGGGCTAATCAAGGGATTTGGCTGGATGCAAGCTGTACAGCAGCTATTAAAAATAAGTATTTAATTGGATATTTGTTTTGCTGTCAGCATGCTGGGCTTAAAAATATATAACTATTACCCTGAGACATCTGAGTGTGGAAAGGAGATGAGACTGTGGAAACACTGAGCAA